GGCTGCGCCCCCCGCGGGGTGCGGGCTCATTCGGGCAGGGCCGGCCTCTCCGGCGGAGAGAACCGTCAGGCAGGGCGCCGCTGTCCCGCTCGTGAAACAAAAAAAAAGAAAAACCCCAAAAATCCACCAAATCAAAAAAGCCCCTTTGATGTTGTAGCAGCGGGTTCGTGCTTCTCTTCGCTCCCGCTCTGGGGCGATGCTGGTTTTGCGGTGAATGGTGAGGAGATGCGCGGGCTGCCAGCCTGCCCTCCCCACCTCGCCGCCCTCCACCCCCGCAAGTGTCCTTCACGTCGCCCGGCGCTGATCTCTGTTTGCACTGCAGCGTTATCTGGTTCGCGATCTGATAATTGCTTCCCTTTGCTACGATGTCTGGAAGGACAGAAGGGCAGCCATCTCGCCCGGCTCTTCCCGTGGGCTGCAGCGCACGCCGTGTGTCAGCTCCTTCCCGCAGCGCGCAGCTCTTCTTTCCCGCTATTGCCACATCAGCAGCCCTTCTGACATCCATCGAAAAGACTAAATTAGAGGTCTAAGAAAACGCGCTAGTGCGGTTGCTTGCAAAGAATGCCTATGCCCTACCCGTAGCCTGTTCAAATACAAAGATTTTAATTAAAAAAAATCTAATTTGTAGACTTTAAAAACTTGAGCAAATAAAATCAGTGTAGTTAGGTTAGGCTAAGTATTGCACGTGATTGAGCAAAAGTCTTTGAGTGTATCTTCTAAAGACATTTGGGGGGGGTTGTACTTGCTTTTTCTAGTTCTGACTGACAGTCCTGAAGTCCTTGGATATACTTGTCCTGCTCAAGGATTCTTATTCCCCATGAAAGTTTTAAAATACTTGTTTAAAATGCAATTAGGTTTTTTTTCAGGCTTGAGTAAATCAATCATCCATTCATTTCTGCTCTTTTGGTTTTGGAAAATGTTAGCGTTATGAAAAAAAGTAGTTTTGTGTATAGTTTAGAAAAAGTTCTCAGCCTAGCCTACGTGTGCTCTAAACTGTGAATGGACAGAACTTTGTCCTGTTGCCACTATTTGTATTTATCATATCTACCCAGTGTTTGAATGTATGAGACTCGGCTCCATAAAAGCAAAGAGGCCATGAACTATCTGACTGCACTTGTCTTGGAGCCTTCCTCTGGAGCCGTGATCTAGATCAGGTTTTGTTTCTGACCAGTGTTCCGGTTCCATTGAACATATGGATATAGTAGTACATGATATTGAGGAGGTCATATTAGAAAGGATTGTGTTTTAAAACTTGAATGAGAACAAGTGCAAAAATAATAACTTTTTAACTACCTGTGAAAGTGTAGTATTCTGATACCAGCAGATGAAAAGGACATGCTAATCATTTATTAAACTTACTAATCTTAAAAGAAACAGTACTTACTAAATTGATTTCCTGGCAATAGCAATGTCTTTTTATTTTCACGTTTGTAATGACCAAACAAAATTAAAGTATTTTAATATGTGGACACGTTCAAAAATTACACAATACCTTTTAAGGCAAGTTGGTTGCCCTCTGAGAATTTAAGCATTGCTGTGTGAATGCTTAACTTCACGTTATCCAGCTGTAAACTTTTTGGTTTTGAACTTACTGGCACATAAATGAGTGGTTCAGAAAGTTATCAGAGAGGAAAAAGACTGAAAGATGAACACAGACAATCATTTGAGTATGATGTTTTTGCAACTGAGGTTTCAAAACCCTGTATTTGACAGATTTTAAGAAATTCTTCAAACAGTTTATAATTTGTACTACAATGTCAGTTTTCTGTTGATTAACTAGACATTGAAAAGGCTTTCTTGTATTTGCATTTTGTTTTGGTAGGTTCAGGTTTATTAGTTGCAGCTCAAGATGCTACAGAAGATGAGGAAGCTGTGGAAGATACTGTAGTTGAAGATGAAGATGATGAAGCTGAAGTTGAAGAAGATGAGCCAACAGACTTGGTAATTGTACATGAATGTTACTTCATAAGTATGAATTAGACCAAAAGTTCTTGAAGCTAGACAAGTTAGATATTTTTAAATATGAGTTTAATAGCATTACTATTTCCAAATAGCTGTCTCAAAGTCCCAAATTAAACTTGTGTTCTGTTTGAAGCTTCAGAATTATTTTTCTTTTCTTCCTGAATTACCAGCTGAAAAATCGCATGGGGACAGCCTGATTTCTGACTACCAAAACTGAAGTTCACAGGAAAGAACACTTAGTGAGAGAAACAGATTAGGAGCCCCATGTAGTTCTTTTCCAGCTTAAGCTGCATCTTTGTAAACTGAGGAGGACATTGGAGTGTAGGACTACTTCATTCTGGCTTCTTTGGTATTGATTTTCAAGGGGCAACAGAATCTTAGTTAAGCTCAGTATTAATTCTGAAAACCTTGTTTTTGCAGCCTGTTTTCACTTACTGCATTTGTAATCTCTGCCACTTGTTGCAGGCTATGCCTGTTATACACCAGTGGCTGTATTGCTGTTCAGGGTCACTTGTTTCAGCTTGATGAAGTGTTTTATGTGGTTATGGGATCTACTTGTAGCAGTGGAGTATTAGGTCTGCTAGACACTTAGTGTACTTAAATTAGTACAAACATTTCTCAAACTTCTGGTGTAAAATTAGAAAGTTCGGGACACTGAGGAGGAGACTACGTGCATAAAAATGGAGACCTGGTAAACTGTTCTTTGATTCTGTTAGATTATTTTTTTTAGTGAAGTTGGTAAGCTTATGGTCAGCCAGTTTTCCTAAGTGGTCGAAGATATGCTAGGTATTCAGTACTGACAGCATGTTATTAAATAACCTTTTGGATGTAATTTGCTTTTAATAAATAGTTTATGACTTGGGTACAAAACATTACAGTTTTTAGGCAGTTTATTTTATTTGTCACTGTAATAGAAGACACAGTTTTGTGTAGCATCTTGAAGTCAAGATGCTAGGTGCTCAGTTCTGGTTTGTGGCTTCCCTAGATCATGGTACATGTACGGCTGATCCAGTAGGCTATCCGCTGCTTCAGGTGGTTGTTTAAGCAGTGAAATCAAATGATGTAATTAACTTGCAACCAGTTAGTTTAGACAGTTCAAAATGGGGTCAGCCTTGCTTTTATTTGGTGGAGGAGGTGGTGATCGTGTGAGCCCCATGTGGAAAATAAACCCTTAATGCTTGCATTTTCCAGTCATCACAAAGGTGAGCTTGAAAAAGTGAATCCGTGAACTTACTTAGTTCCAACAGTCTAACTGTTTCCAGGCATACATAACATTTAACTAATTAAAACTGAATAGAAAGCTTCTATAAACACTCCCTCAGTAGTGAAAGAAACTCTCATTTGCCTTATGTTTGTCTATAACTTTGGAAATGCTTGCTTTCTAAATAGAAATAGCTTAGAAGTGAACACTTAACACTTAGATTCTACTCTTCTCCTTCCATCCCCCAACAGAACTTGCTGATAAGAAACCTTTCAATACAGCTAAGTGCAGCTGAGATTAGTCACTGTGTCAAATATAACAAGTAGAATGCTAAATGCTGAAAATGCTGTTAATCAAATCTAGAGGGAGAACAGACTATGTGCTAATCCTGCAACGGCAGGAATTGATTCTAAGGCTTGCCATTGTTGCATGCTTTGACACATGGGATTTTCATGGAACAGGCATGGTCTTTGCTTCACTGTTCGTTATAGGATTTTTCAAAAAAGTCTCTTGTCTTAGACAGAGGAAAAAGAAGACGACGACTTGTCAGGAGAACCTAAAGCCTCACCTAGTGCTGATACAACCATCTTATTTGTGAAAGGTGAAGGTAAGAGTCCTGAGCTGTTCTACCATCTTTACTGTTGCTTGGACTACATCAATGTGTGCATAAAACAGCAAAGCTCTAAAAAACCAGGATCTGTTAGAGACACTCTGTTTAGAAACAGGCTAGGTGTGGCGTATGAAGCTTCTAACAGTTGAATATTTTTTGTTTTAGACTTTCCAGCAAACAATATTGTAAAATTCCTGGTGGGCTTCACCAATAAGGGTACAGAGGATTTCATTGTCGAGTCTCTTGATGCTTCTTTCCGGTATCCTCAAGACTACCAGTTTTACATCCAGAACTTCACAGCTCTCCCTCTGAATACAGTAGTTCCACCGCAGAGACAAGCCACGTTTGAGTACTCTTTCATCCCTGCTGAGCCTATGGGTGGTCGTCCTTTTGGACTAGTTATCAATCTCAACTACAGAGATGTAAATGTAAGCCTGATGTTGTAATTAATTTTAATCTTTCTAGTTGATGTGGAAATGGCAGGAATGAACTGCTTAGCCAGGTTACTACCTCTTCAGACAGTGAATGTCTTTGTGGTCTTTTAAGCAAATCAGTAGATACATAAGCACAGTAAGCAACTGTCTACATGTTTCACAATAGCCCCTCTTGTGCACTTCGTTCTGTATGTGTTAGACTTGAAGTTCTATCAGCAGTGGAAGCTAGAATGCCTGAGAACTGCGTAGTAGTGGGCTGTATGCATTTTAAAAAAAAAAAAAAGAACTAAATGGTTTTTTAGGATAACTTAAATTTCACTGTGCTTTTCAGATTGGGCTTTACGGACAAACTTAACCGTCACCCTGAATGCCATCTGCAAACTTGACTTGGAACAAATAAATGACCAGTAGTTGCGATCTGGGGGAAGACTAACAAAAAGCATAAATGGGGATTAAAATACGGGATTCTTATCTTTTAGAGCAGGCCTAAGTTTAACAGGTTTATGTACCTTTGTGTTTTGATTGTTCTAATAAGAACCCTTTGTATGTAATATCTCACGTTATAGGAAATAACATTTTCAAGGCCAGATGTGCCTTTCTTGATGATATCAATACTTCTTTTTACTTGCACCAAAAAGTTTGTGCTTTTTTTATGTTGAGTCAAACTCACACTTCTTATAAACTTAAATCGAGTCTCATGCAAGAGATACTGCTTTATTTCTAGTGTTTTTGAAGAACATGGAAGAAGATAAACATTTGTGTATGTGTTCAAGAACTGACTTTTAAATGTTATGTGGAAACTGTGTTACAGGGCAATGTGTTTCAAGACGCTGTCTTCAATCAAACTGTTACAATTATTGAAAAAGAAGATGGGCTGGATGGAGAAACGTAAGGAGGCTGGAGATTCAAGTTTAGTTGGTGTACTGGTAGAACAGGTTATCGATGGGGCCAATGAGAATAGTTCTTGTATCCTCATTTTATTGAATGTTAGGTCTGCTGTGTTTTGCTGATGGTGTAGCAGGCATTTGACTTCTACAACATTGATAGACTGAAAATACAAACTTTCTCCTCAAATTAAGATCTGTATTAATATTATGGATCTTCAGAATTGGTACTGTGTCAATGAGTAGTTTACTCACAGGCTTTAGCTTAGAGGGCTTAAGCCTTGAATAGGACCTGATGTTACACAGATACAGAACAATTCAAAGCTGTCAAGCTTCTGTTATGCTACAGTGCTTTTTCCTAAGAGTTAAAGGTGCAGAGGGTCCATAGTGTTGGGCTGTGGGTCCTACTGTGAAGACTGGAATAACTTGCTTCTAGAGCAATCCAGTATAATCCAAGATTATATAAACTGAAAGATGTATTTGAAGTATGAGATGGAGGAACTCTCACTCATTCTTTGTTGCTCTAACCCCTATCTGTAGCAGGTACCTTTCAGGAGTGTTTTTGTCTGTCTTAAAGACTACGTACATCTGACACATCTTATATGTTGCAAGCATATGCTGTGCTGATATGCTTGTAAGTATTCTAACATTGGAGTGGAATTTTAAGAGAACCTGTGAGTTTAAAAAAAAATAAAAATCTGCAGAAATACTTGTAGACAATGCTGAATATCTGAATCCTCCTGCTGCAGGTAGAAACTTCCATGAATCTGTATTCTCAGATACAATAGCATCGATGAAAGAACAGTTTGTCACATAAAAATATGTTATACTCTGATAAAGGAACTCTCAAAAGAATTCACATTATTAGAACCAGTTTGAGTTAATGTCCTGTGACTAGATAATTGCCTTAAAACAGGGATGTTCAGTTAAGTCTCATCTGTAGATTACCTCCATAATTTCCGTTGTTATAAATCCTGAGTTAAGGTGTTCAACTTGGAATAGATTCTTTACCTGTAAACTCCTGCCTGCTCCCCAAATTAATTTTAGATATAATGTACGTTCACCTCTTGATAAGTATCAACAGGTATTTCAGGCAGAGTTCTTCAAAACAAACCAAAATGCACAGATCTAAAAAAATGATTAATTGCATTGGTAGAATTCTAACTGTGGAACACAGAGCAAGATAAGCAAGGCCTTTTAAAACTCTGTTGGCATTAAATTAGCATCTTAGCAGTACTTGCTTTGCAGTAGCGTACTAAAAGCATATAAGAGATGGTTTTAGGGGTTTTGTAGGTGGTTAAAGCTGTCACAAACATTAACCGTGACCCAATGTCTTGAAACATGATACTGCAAAAGTTCTTGCCGTTACTAAATTTCAATAATTATTATAAATAATCTCCCAGTTTACATGGCATTTTTCAAATGTTCTGTTGTTCAGAATTAAATTTAGGATTACGGTTTCTGAAATGAAAGTCAGAATAATTGCTTAATATTTGTTAGCACTTCAGTTTCAGATTCATTGTTTTTTTTCTCCCACCTACCCACTACAAAAGTTGTTGGGAAAGATTAAGTGGGCGTGTGGCCAAAGCTAGGCTTAGTTTCTATGCCTCTTTATAAACTCTCTTAAACACTGGTTTGGTTTTTTTTTAGTTAATGGTTTCTTAAACTGTTTTTTAAAGGATCTTCATGTACATGTTCCTCGCTGGACTTGGTCTACTCGTCATTGTTGGCCTACATCAGTTACTAGAATCTAGGAAGGTGGGTAGTGTATTTTGTTTATGTACTTGTTAATACAAGACCTTACTGATAAGAAAAGAAAGCAATTCAGTAACTGCTTCTGGCATATGATGGTACAAGTTGAATTTTAGAAGATTTACTTTTAGAACTAAGACCTTAGAGATTACTGGGAAAACCAGGATGTTTTTTTAAAGTGTTTGTAAGTGGGAACATTTAGGTTGTTTACCTTGTGCTCTTTGGGTCTGCTCTTTGGCACCACACTGAAGTGGTTGAATTGGAAGTTTTGATACCTTCCAGTCACTGGATGTGTGCAGCTACTGATTAAATACTTACTGGGTAGACTTTCCCAGTGCTCTCTATTTCAATCTGTTAGTTTAATCTAGGTAAAACTTTGGGGGAAAACAGCTGCCTAGTCCTTTACTTAGTTCTTATGAATGCTTTGCCATAATGTTGATTAGAACCTTCTGGGTTCCATTTATAGTGCTATAACAACAGGTAAGGGTTTGTCCCTGTCAGTGTTCGGGTAAGTAAAAGCTGGTGAAAGCTTAAGTCTCATCCACGCAATGCATAAGTTGTCTTTGTGCAGTCTGGTTTATGATACTTTTGAAGTAGTTTCCCTTGGGAGGAAGTATGGAATGATTATTGCGCTTTGAAATCTGTTTTGCAAGGTGACATATGAGAATATCATGCTAATCTGAGAAAGTGTAATGAAACCGCTCATCACAAAATTGGATTAATCACAAGCCCTTTTTTGTAACAGGTATAATGAACTTGCCCAGGCATGCATGAAATCTTGATATCTTTGTGTAGAATGAGTATTGTGAGGCATTAGAAGTGGCAATCCCAAGTTTAGGTAAATAAATTGCTAATGGTAAAGGTAGTTAAAGCCAAGCTACAAAGACAGATTCATACACTGACTAGCCTTAAGTTTGTGACTTAGTAAAATAATTGCAATTAATTAAATATAGTGTTATTAGTTATTTCTAATACTTGCGCCATCAAAACTTTGTGGAAAGAAAAATTATTTTTTTCCCCCCCTTGAATTTTCAGAGGAAGAGACCAGTACAGAAAGTAGAGATGGGAACATCAAATCAGAATGATGTTGATATGAGCTGGATTCCCCAAGAAACTTTAAATCAAATAAGTAAGTAGACTGTCTTCCACAAACTAGAGCATAACAAACTTAACCAATTAGTTGTATGCTGTTCTGAGAAATTGGTATCAGCTACTTATTCAGTTACATCTCTTCTAGGGAATGAAAAATTGGCTAAAGCATTGTGCTTGATGATTCGACTATTATGTTAGCAGCCTGTTTTTGTATAGAACAAACTTCACTGGTTGATAGAATAATGACTATCGGTGACTTTTACAATTTGTTCTGTAGACTCTTTTTCAACAGTATAAAAATCTTTGCCCAAAACCTGGATCCCAAAGGAGGTTTAAGTAGGAGAAATATCTATCATCTCAAAGTTTCTGTAAGTTGTTTGGAAGTTTGCTTATAGACCAGAGTTTTAAATAAGCATTAGAAGTGTGTATTAACTAAAGCCACATTAAGACTTGGTATTAATGTGCTTCACAAGTCCAAAAGTTCTACTTGATATCTGAAATGCCAACAGTAAACCAAATACCTGATTTCTTTAGACCATTTGTGTTTGTGGATATTTCTAACTTTTTTTGCTGTTTCTTCTGTTTTGCTTTCCCATGGCTTCAGTGCAGAGTAGAAGAGGTGAGGCAAACTGTTGATCTAAAGTGTACAAGTGCTTAATGTGTTGTCCATTGGATAACTAAGCATGGATAGAAGTACAACTTCCTGCATGCACTGATTGGTGATGTAGCATGAATAGTAAAAGATTACAGAACAGATGCACACAAACACACTTTATATATGCATAAATTTGTGTTTTCATATATAATAAATAGGTGTGTATATGTTATTTTTTGTTATATTGTTGTAAGAACGTTTCAGTAAGATATTGCTGAAGCATATTGTCTCCTCTAACAGCTCCCAGAACCCTTTATCTAAAATGCAGCTGTGTGTCTTGCCTTCCCTGCTACCTTGGGGTAGTATCAAGTTGATACTACATGAGGGATGTGGAGGACTGATCATGACCAGTGGCTGAGCGCATCTTGTTTCAGTCAGAAACAAACCTTGGCCTTGGGTATAAAAGTTTAATAGGTTTATCTTTTTGGGTCTTCCTTATCCTAGGTGAACTCCTGTCACCAGTAACACTGGCTGGTATGAGGCGAGATAGCTGCACTTAAAACAAAGTGCATCCTAGACAAGAGGAGTGCTTTGAAAAACCTTTGCAGGAACTACCTTTACTTGAAAAGACTACTGCTCTGATGAAATAAGCATATTCAGAGCTTTATTTAGTGTAGAAGGGCTAGAGGCTCTGATACAAAGTTGTGCCAGGAGTTGACGACTTCATTTCTTTTGATTCCTTCACCCTTATAACTGTATTTACATTGCATATGTATAAGGACTGGTGTTTAACTTTGGAAAACATAAGCTTTCTTGTACACTGTCTTCTGTAAAACACAGGAATAATAGTGTAAAATCTAGACACAGGAATTTGGAAAGCCTCAATCTAGCAAGAAAGACTAAAGCTCTAAATGCTATTTTTTTTCCCAAAGAGCAAGCTGTCTTTAAATGGGTTCAGATCCTGGCAATGTTTGGGCGTTATCCCCCATCCCTTTCTTAAGCTAAATAGGTATTCATATCTTAATACCTGAAGTGTAGGGGAAAAATGCATTTAAGTTGCTCTTAAATGTGCTTTTCTTTAGCTTTAGGTTAGTTTTAATTAGAACTCTACACTAGAATCCTTTGAAATACACGGCCTTCAAGATCCTCAGGGTTTCTTAACTGTTCTATTATTGAAAGACACTTCATACTTTATTGATTGGCTTGTAATGGTGTGATGGCCGCTCCTTGTGTTTGCACACATAAAATAAATTATTGGAGGTGGTTCTACTTAAGAAAATGTGCATTGTTAAGTCAACAGATATACTTCGCCAGCACTTAAGCACTTCATACAAAGTATTGTACCTTCTCTACAACATTACAAGGATTGAAATTCTATTTATGTAAAGCCCAACATTGTAAGGAACAATTATAGGCTTGTCAAAATCTTAAATGTTGGATGATGCTTCTGGCATCCAGCATAGAGCTAAAGCTGGGTGGCTTCCCCATATGGGATATCTGATTACAAAGTGATGTCTTCATAGTCAAATGTGGATGCTTCCTGGAAAAGTGTGGTTTTTCACAACCAAAACACTTATCTGCTGCTGTTAATCTGTATGAATATGGAAATATTTCATGCAAAACAAAGCTGTCTAAAAGATGGTCAATTGTATATTCTTCAGGCAGGTAAAATCAAACCATTAATGATCAAAATAATTAACTTTCTAGAAGTGTAATATTTGAACACAACTTTTCTAAACAGCAGAGCACAGAGCATGCAGTTTCTTTGTGAGATGGTGTTGGGTTTGGGTTTTGGGGTGGTTTGTTTGCTTTGGGTTTTTTTGCATCTTAGTAACTGGTAAATTGAACAACTCTCACCCTGTTACAGAATAGGAACTGTTTTTTTGTTACCTTGTATTTAGGATGCTAATAGTTAAAAAGCCCTACGCTGTTTGAACTTGCTTCTCTGTGGTGATGCATTATACTAAAAGGGCAGTTTGGCTTGTGTTTGGGAGGGAGAAAAATACATGGTCATACAACATCTCATATGAAGTAGCTGTAGCAATTAATGCAACTATCTTTTTTTTTTCTTTTTTTTTTAATCTAGATAAAGCTTCACCGAGGAGGTTGCCCTACAAGAGGGCACAGAAGAGATCAGTGGGCTCTGATGAGTAAATGTTAACTAGTACAACAGTTGAACCTTTACTAATTCTGCCTGTTTGGGTTTTTTGGATTGGAGTAGTGCAGAGAATCCATATCGCCATAAGGAAAATACTGCTAAACATTTGAACTGAACAGATTAACTGAATGGTGTTAATATTACTGAAAATGCACTTCTCTTTTTTGTTAATTGTTGGAGGGGGGTGGGGGGAGAGGTAGCCATTAAGACTTGTGCCTGCGTGTGTAAGCAGTTGGTCTTAACAGAACATGTTACCTGAAATGTGCCTTTAGAGTTCTTTGTAATGCTGGCTTGCCATCTGTACGCTGTCCTTGAAGGATTTTTCTCCTCCCCCTAATCTGAATGTCTAGTGACTTAATCTGTCTTGATTGTGTCATGTCTGTATCAGAACCTGATATGCATTTTTCTTCAGTATTCTCTCCAGTGTGCACACACCAAAGTTTGTGTGCGTGGTCTTATTTCAGTGGCAAGGCACTGATCATCCAGATTTCTGCATAGTTTGCATTCTAAAGGCACAATTGGGTATAGCTGCTCGTAGTGGTAGATACTTTGCTGGTTTGATCTGGGCATGCAGTGACCTAAAATCTGAACATATCTGCATAGATGTTAGGAAGACTCTTACACAGCAGCAGAACTTGTGAAGCATGAAATTTGTGTGCTGAATTGGTATTACTACATAAATTTTTTTTATACCCAACTTGTTAAATGGTTGGTTATTGAGCCGTGCCAGCTGCCTAGGTATTCTGATTATAGTGGTAGCTCTGCAATATTTACTCAAGAAGTTATTGAATGAGTTAGAACAACTTTTCAGTAAGTTCTTGGTTCCCTCACAAAAAAAAACCCTAGAATGTCATACGTATCAAAGTATGGACTTTCTTAAAGCTTTACATGGGGCAGGGACTTTGCATTTACTGTACACTCTTGAAACTCAATTTGAGAAGCTGTTCACTTCAAATAATCCTTTCAAATGGCAAACTATTTAATTTACCCTTTACGGTTTTTAAATCTCAAACTTCTTTCCACTGGTCAGTACCCCGGTCTAAGGGTTTGGTTTGTTGTTTTTTTTTTATCACCTTGTCTTTCCTACTAGTAACACATGCATATCCATTATTAACTACACGTTAGTTCAATGCTAAAGCAGAAAAGCTACATGTGAACAAAGTGGGATTTTCTTTTGTGGCAGGCACATGATTACCAGGTACTGAGGTATTGACCCACATCCATTGCATTCAGGAATTTAACTGACAGTAAAAAGAGCAGATAATGCAGGGTGTCAGTTTACTGCTTTGCAGGCACTTGGACAAGGCTTGTATTGTTTGCATCTCAACTGCATCTCCTCCTGTGTCCGAAGGTTATCTGGACACTTGTTGAGTTCAGGAAGAGTCATTGACTGGAGACTTCTGTTTTCTTTTTCTCCCCTTCCTGATCCCCACATGCGAAAGTGCTCTTTTAGATCTATGCTTGCTCTGCAGGGACTGAGCTTCTGAGCCAATGAACACTGAGCAATACTTGCAGATCATGTCATAGTGTGTTGGAAGCATCTCAGCTCTGAAACTACCTGTACTGGCACTATTTTACTATATGCTTTGCCAGAATGAACTGTGAAGATGTTCTTGACTCATCTTGCCATGGAAATAATAAGAATAGGAAAAGCAACCCCAAAGATGCTTTGTTCAACTTCCTGATAATATAGCTAGTGGGGAACAACTTTGTTTCTCTTTACTGATGTAATCTCACTGGTTCTTTGTTAGATTTATGGGCTTATATTCAACCTTGCATTGATTCAACAAAGAGTTTATGAATTAAATGCTTTGTATACTAGAGCCCTATAGCTATTGCAGCACCTGATGTACTGAACTTGTAAGTTCCCTCTCTTGGGTTATGTCTCTTAACTTGAAATCAAGAGACTTTTTTTTTTTTTTCCCTACCTTCTGGTAATAGGTGATCTTAAACTGTGTGCTCTAATTTTTCCCAAGATAAGAAGGTACTCTTTTGAGGGGGGTGTGAGAGCTGCTCTAGCTACAGTAGTACTCCAGGAAAAAAGATAAAGGGTCATAACAGAGGATACCAGTTTGTAATGTCCTAGTTCTATTTGTTCAGATAAATAGCCCTTTCTGAGTTCTAGAGCAAGTTTAGCCTTTGGAAAGCTTAGACTGACCAGGACTTAAGCTGAAGGACTGAAGCACTGTGCAAGTAAGAAATAAGTATTTGAAGGCTTCAGCTTTCTTCTCCACACTCGGTGGTTAACATCCAAATGCTTAAGTTCTAAGAAGAGAGGAGTCAGTTTAGCAGCTTGCACAGGAACTAGCAATGGGAAAGCCCAGTTGTACCAAGGCTTTCTGATCATACAATTTGGCATTCACTGTGGATGGTTCGTAGTAACTTTCTCAGCCAGAAGCAGCAGTTCATAAGAACAGTGGCCAGCGGTCCCCTGCTAATCGTGATGAATGAAGTAACAGTTTTGAATTCCTTGTTTCTGGTTAGTTTGCTGTAGTTGAAATTTAGCATTAACATTCTCGTGCGTAGTGGTAATTGAACTTGGGTATGTCTTACATTATTTCTAGCAAATAAGCCAGTCCACTACAGTCAGGTTTCTTCAAATAGGAGAAAATAGTTGTTGCTTTATCCTGTTGGTTAACAACTTTTATTTTGGTACTTGAATTTTCCACACAATTTCTAAGAACATAGGTAGCTTAGTGTCACACGTACATGACTGGATATCATTAGTATTATTGGCTGAGCAGGGTATTGTTTCATTGACTTCAGGATGGAACAAGTACCAATTCTGTCTGTCTCTATGCCACCCCTTTCCATGTGGCAACACAAACATTTGTATAATCTAGCATTTTTACCAGCCTGATTCTCAGCAAGCTTACTACACATCTGTTCATGTGAGGTTATAAGGAGCAAGGACCGAAAAATGTGGACTAGGGTGTCTTCCTTATTAGTAAGGGATGCTAAAATGGTTTTAGACCACAAATAAACTATGCCCTTAGCGCGAAGGACCACTTTTAAGTCTTGTCTCACAGCTCCTTGACTAGTTTGAAAAAAAAAAAAAATTGTGAAGACTTAAGGAGTCTATACTTGAGGTAAGAACAACTGCTTTAGAGTTCATGTCTAGTCTACAGTGGTAGCAAAGCATTAATTTAGCTACACTTGAACTGTATTTGATACTTGTAGCCCTCTGAATGCTCTCCACTTTGCGACATGTTCATTTTTTCCCAGTATCATTAACTCTGAGAAAGAAGAGTGGCTGCTGTCAGGCTAAAGAATGAAGTATCATCTTTATTCTTCATGTAAGAAATAATTAAGTTGTAGGCTATAGAGATGAATGGAACAGACTAGCGATGGCAGTACTTCTGCATGTTTCAAAACAGTTCTGCTGAACTTCTTCCTTACCTTGGAATGAATATAATCAAAAGCATCATTCACTGTTTATTCCTGGAGTGTGTGGTGCTAAATAAAATGTTGCAGTTGAAAGCCCTGAATTCAGGGAAGCAGCAGGAAAGTCAAATACTAACATGGGCTGGTGGTTGTCCTGTTTTTCAGTGTGCCTGATGTACTGAGCAGCAGTTCAGAGTCTGCTCTCTTTTCTTTGTCAAAGGAAGGACAGTACCTACCTCAATGGAGTGACACAAGCGCTGTTTCAGGAATGTTTTGAAGTTACTTGAGACTTGCACAATACACTTCATGGAGACAGTAAGACATAGCATTAGTTTAACTTGATGGTAACTACATAGATTCATGTTATACCAGTTTAATCCCCTCAGTGAACAGAATTTGGTAGCTTTACAGCAAGTCTTTTCTTAAATACACAGAGGAATTGCAAGTAACTTAGAGGAGAGCAAAGCCAGAAAGATCTTTCAGTTTCTGCAAGAGTTTATAGGTGGGCTAAATAACATTCTTCTGATGCTTTTTTCCATCTATCTGTAAATTTTCCCAGGGATTTTTTTAATCAAGTGATATGGATGATTGTTTCTGTAGATATAATCAACAGTCAGTTTAAGAAGGACTGATTGTTTTGGATGATTAAGTTCAGATGATGTACTGCAACTGAAATGTTAAATTAACATTTATTCTTACCTGCTGACTTTCATTTATAAGTGAGATCAGATCTCTTGAAAATGGCTGCAGGTTTTTTGTAAAGTAAACTTGATTATTTTTTTTCTTCTTAGCATTGTGTAGCTTTTTTTTTTTTTTTAAATAAAGCATGAGTATGGCAGCAAAAAGCCTGAGTGCTCTGCTGGTGCTCTTTTCATTGGTAAGCAACCTGTAACAGCAAGTATGCAAAGAGTGAAAACATGCTATTCTTAAAAAGCTGCTTTTCTACAAGTGTGTGTTTGGAACAGGAATAATAGTGAGGAAGTATTCTGTGATGTTTTGGACAATGGACTAATATTAAGATTAAAATTCTGTATAAGAATGAGGGGAAGGCCCTGAGAAAACTAGTCAGTAAATTCTTGACTCCTGATCTGTTAAAACTGAGCCGGTCCCCTACATTTCCAGAAAGAATAACCTATTGTTAAACTGTAGGCAGTGTGAAAAGGATCTGTTAAGATACTTAAAGACTGCTGAAGCACAAGGTTCTAACAAGGCCAAATCCCTATAGTTTTAAAGTGTATTCCATTGTCTGACTGAGCAAACAATAATATTCCAGGCAACAATACTGAAAGTAGCAGTTTGAGCAGGTGTACTGCATCCAGACAAAAGAAGGTAGGACTTGCTGGGGAAAAAGCTAACAAAAGCAAACCAAAAAGTGCTTAAAAATAAAGGATGCTGAGACGTCTGTATTTGAACTACTTCTATGGATAAATAAGGGGAAACTTAAAAGGCATATGTGTTGATGTATTTTTAACTCCCAGAGAACAGAAGAATGACTTTCAAATTTGAAGTCTGCCTCATCCTTCCCTGAAAAGACCAAGATAGATTTTTGAGACTTCATAGTGGTCTCCGTTCTTTCTAAGCCAGTCAGTGTAATCTTTTAATTTCAGTAGGCTGTCTCTCTGTCCCCTCATGTTAGTAATCCTGATAATAAATTTATATTAACCAAGACACAGTAAAGTTTCAGCATTACAACATTCCAGTCCCTTAACTGGTGAGGGAAAACTGAAACTTAACCTGTCTTTACTCATCACTTTTGATCTGTTCAGCTTACACTGAAGCCACAGCTTGTCCTGCTTTGAGTTTTCCCTGTGCCATTTAAGTTCACATAATGAAACCATAACTGAAGAGCTGGCTCTTCCACATAGTGATGAGAATACTTAGAGTTAATGTACATAGCCACACAAGTGTCTGAAGGAGAGAAATTTTCAAGACAACCTCAGTGTATAGTCTAGTGAGACAGATACAGGCAGGGCCTGGATGGAGCCAGACAGTATAGTTTCCGTTCAGATGAAGTTGCATTGGTGGACCATGTGTGACTAAAGCACTTACCCTGAAGATAAAAATATAGTACTAGGTTCGCTAGATGGAAGTTACTATAGTCAGCAATACCAGAAGCTGCCAGCTGAGGGATCTCCCAAGCCAGCGACAGCTGCTTCTCACAACAGCCAGGCACAAGAGAGCTTCAGTCCCTTCTCAGAAAATAGCATCTAAATGGATGTGCTAGAGCAACTGTGTCTGCCTTTTCTTTATCACTCTTTGCGGGGGCTTGATCACTGAAAAGTAAGTCCGAGCGCTGTGCTTTTAAGAAAA